ACCTCAATTTGATTCCACAAATTGATTTATTAAAAAAATAATAAATAATAATAAAAAAAAAAACCAAATAACTTCTGTTTCTATACTTCAACAATTGATTGGGCAACTTCAATTCCAAATTAATTCTACAACTTGTTCAAGTCCAAAATACTATATTATAACTTACGATCTATTGGTCCAAGTGGAAAGAATTCGGTTCCCCTTAAACAAAATCTCGAGTTCAAGTCTTGTGAATAGAAAAATAGGCGCTGAGAGAGCCTCCCCTCTAATGGAGTATGACGCAGCTCGATTCCAGATTAGTCGAGACCCAATGTGGTTACCGGATTTCAAGAGATTAGTACCCAAATATATATATATATACTATATTATAAAAATTATTAAAATCTTCAATAAATACCAAATAAATACCAAATGAGTCTTTTAAAATCTTTCTAAAACCTCAAATAAATACTAAATGGAACTCTTAAAAAACTTCATTGAGAAACTTGAAACCTAATTAAATTATATTAATGCCCTTTCAAATTTCATGACAAGCACGATACATATAATTCCTTACTAGATTAATTCTCCACATAATAATACTTAATAATGCTCTAATTATATCAAACTTCTTACTAATTTTTATTAAATTCCACTTTAATTACCATAAAATAATATGGCTTTTACATCTAAATATTTTTAAAGTTGAAAACAACTTATGTAAATATATAATTCAACTTCTATTTCAATTATATAATGTGTTTAGCATAGACACAAATTATATTATATTCAAAGAGGCACTTCACAAATTGATTCTTATTTTCTCAATTATTCTTAGACTAAGGGAGTAATGACTAGGATGTAAATAATTCTAGATAAATGTATTTCTTAATAATGATTAATAAAATATCAAAAACTTTGAATAGCAACAAATTGTAGTACGTATAACGAATGTGTGTCAACTATCACTTTATAATGACTACTATCAACTTATAAGTCCAATTTAAAAAGTAGAGAATGAGTTATAAATGAACCACCTAAGCATAAACAGGAAGTAAGAACACTTACAAGGAACCTTTGCGAGAAACCTAAAAACGTTTTAACATTCTCTTTATCAAAAGTCTAAACTATATATCAAAAAATTATGAAAATGGTAAAGTAAAAGCCCTTACACGCTTTCAGTATATTAATTAAGAAAGAGAGAGAGAGAGAGAGAGAGAGAGAGAGAGAGAGAGAGAGAGAAACTATGGTAAAAATGATATATAATAATAAATAAAGATGCAAGAAGTGATTGGGGAAGAATAATATTGAGAGAATAAGGATAAGAAGAGAAAAATTAATAACAAACAAATTATTAATATATATATATATATATATAGAGAGAGAGAGAGAGAATGAGGGCAAATGTTGAGTAAACAGATAAATATTAAATGTGAGAGAATAAGCTAAGAAATGGAATCCCAAGAAAAATTAATGAAAGGTGAAGCATAGGTAAGTGAAAAATGCATCAACACAGAAAAAATGGTGTAAAAAATAGATATATTTTGATACATAAAAAAATTTAAAGGAATAACTAAAAAAGAAGGATAGAGATGAGAGGATAATGAGAAAAAGAATAATGATGAATAACTTCGCAATATAAAGATGGAAAAGGAGGGAGATAATGTAGGCTTTATATCTTTTATTGGTTAAAACTTATAACTTTGTGGATATGTTTATAAATTTATTGCAAATTACTACAATATTTGTGATTTACTGATATTTAAAATTATTGTAATCTTAAGAAAACAAAAAATATCCAATGATAAATAGAGAGAGAAAATTGGGTTAATAAGATATATAATAATAGATAAAGATGCAAGGGATAACTAAGAATACTATTAGGCAAGGATAAAAGGAAATAATAATAACAAACAAATTATTAATATAGAAGGGAAAGGGTGTTGGAGCTATAGCATGAAAGCTGAAAATGCAATGAAATGAGATCTGTCAAATGAAGCTGCAACATGACTGCACAGTAGCAGCAAAATGACAGCAGCATGGAGCTTCACGTGGACTACAAGAAATGGCAGCAAACTTCATCATTTTAGCCAATGTTTTAGGTAGTTAATAATTATTGTTTGGGTAGAAAAATATTATTGTTTTATGTGTAACCTTCCTCTATAAAAAGGAAAGACGAAATTGAGTGAAAATTGAGAGAGAAAGAGAAAGCATGGTTTCTCCTCTCCGGTTGGGTGAATGTCTGCACCCTTCCATGTTTATGGCCTTATGTTATGTTCTATGTTGGGCGTCTCTCCTTCTCCTCTAAATCCTCTCTCAACCCTTTCTTCTTACCTCAAAATTCCTACAAAGGGGCAAGCTTATCAGACATAGTTTAGAGCGAGCAAAGGTGAGACGATAAATTAAAAGATGGTGTCACTGGAAAATTTAATAAGTGGGAGGACAAGGGAAGAAAAATAACAACAAACAAATTGTTAATATATATATATATATAGAGAGAGAGAGAGAGAAAGAAAGTGAGGCCGAATATGGGTAGATAGATAAGTATAATAATAAAATATGTGAGCTTAACGGCGTTGTAGGAAAAACTATTGAAAGGTGGAGTATAAGTAAATGAAAAGATAATAAGAAAATAATGCTCATGAGTTATGTCTTTTATATTTTGACCTAAAACCTTCTAATATAGTCATCTGAGAGAGAGGACACAAATTAGCCCCTCAACCTAAATCAGCAGCAGACAATCCCCTAAACTCTTTGAGAATGGCAAAAAACCCCTTATCTGACAAATTATATGGCTCACCTTGTGTTCAAGGCAACAAAGACAGCTTATGGATTTGAGTACCAGCTTGTAGGGGTAAATGTTGTACTTGTTGGAACTGAAGGCTTTAAATGAACTGTGTTTTTGGGTGTAGAGAAAGAATGGAGACAGAGATACAGGAGGCAAAGGCAATGAATAGGAAATGAGTATTTTGCAGTTGGGTGGCCACTGGAATGATGGTCTCATTATTCAAGGCATAGAGATCAGGCCAGTTAGTGGTAAACAAATAATAAGATTTTGTTTCCATCAATGTGTTTACACCATAAATTACAAAGTTGTTTGATGATACCACATGTCACATTATTTTAACAAGTGACTATGATTATGCCATGTCAGAAATGTTGCTGTTATAATCCAAAGAATGATAAACCATCTAGATGGACGCCACATGAATATCAAATCTGTATATATGGTAACTATCTCCTAATTATCTGATGTTATTTCAGTTAGTGGAGATATGCATTAATATCTGCAATATCCAGATGATTCCTAGCATCTGAAAATTTTGCTAAGATACATGATTTTCATAGGAGACAACTGGAACTACAGGGATAATTAATTCTCGGGGAAGTTCAAAAATATTGAAGCTAACACTAAATGAAATAGTTAGTTCAGAGCATTCAGTTTGCAAGTTGCTAGAGGAGACAAACGAACTACATCTAGTGGGGAATGGTTTGCAAAATGTAGTCAAGGACTTTAATAAGGGAGGCTTTCAAGAACTATATATTTGCAGGCAAGAAGAATTCTAAGAGATGGTGGTGAGAAGCACCCACAAGAGAGGGAAGGATGAAGGTAGGGTTAGTTGACTTCTTCAATGAAGGTAGCAAGGATGGCGAATTGACAATACATTTGTTTTACAATTGTAGTTTAGCAAGACGTAACAAAACTTTTCTTTCACCTTGTGAGTTTTGTGTGTGGGAGAAACATTACTCCACATATACATGTTAAATTGCGGTTGCAATGCACTAGTTTCATTTAAGAGGTTCGCTCTATTATTACCATTTGAACAATGTATGCCTAATCTATGGAGTTAAGAACTAATTTTTATGTGATTTAGAGTGTTTTCATTTGGTTAGTTGGATGAGAAAACATTGCATCGAAAATTTATGATTTTAACCCTGAGTTTTCTATTAGGAGCAAAGGAAGGGCTATGTGACTCATTTTCAAAATTCATGATTAGAAATTTTTATTGAAAACAAAATTCATGGATAGTCAATTGATATCAAAATTGAAAGAAATCGAAAATAACTTTAACAATATTAAAAATACGTACTCGATTAGTGCGTGAGGGTTTTGTCTCCTCTCTTGGGTTTTCATAGGGGCTTTTCCCGTTTGATGCTGCGGCTGTCTGGCCGGCCCGTAATGTGGTTGTCGGAGACGAACGTTCTCTACTCGATTTGATTGAGTTTCGCTTACGTCCAGTCTCCAGTGGTGCCGATCTGTCGGTGTTTATGGTCGGGTTTCACCTGGGGAGTGCTTGTCGGCGGTGTGGTTTTAAGTGGAGGACTGGGACTAAACCCGTTGACCCGATCCTGGTCCGAACGAGCCGGGTCTAAACTTGGGCTGGGTGTTTGGGTCTGAGACTAGACTGGAACTAGCTTCGAACATGTGCGACGCATTTGATTTTTTTTCTTTTCTTTTCTTTTTTTTCTAATTTTAAAGTAAGAAATAACAATAATAGTGCAATGTGTAAAGTGTAAACTTAATTAAAGATCCAAAAATTGAAAATAAATTAAATTAAAAATACTAAAACAAAGAAAGAGTAAGACAACTGTAAACAAAAAAAATTCATTTATTTCGTGGATGATTTTTAATATCTTATTATGATTATTATAGAAATAAGAATAAAATTATTTTTAATACTACTACAAGTTAAACTTAAACCCCCTTAAATTTAAAGAAAAATCATAACACCAAACCTAACAATATTTTATGTTATTTTTAAACATTTACATTTTTTTATAGAAAAAGGATTTTTTTTACAAATTTTTTTTATCATTGATCACTCCTTTTTTTTTTTTTTTTTTTGCTTTTAAGGTTTTTTTTTTTAATTTATGTTTTATTCTTAGAATCTCAAATAATTCTTAACAATCTAATTCTTTTGTACCATCAAAATTAAAATTATAAAGCTTAAATAATTTTTTAGACATTTGTTGATAGCTATTCACTTCGAAATCAAAGAATATCATACAGAAATCTCAAGGTCCAGACATTTTGGATTCTAAAGCCTCAACATGTTAAGATATTGAGCGGTCTACATTGATGTTTGTAGTACACTGGAAGAGGTTGCTTCTCAAAAATAGCCTTCAAGATCTTAGGAGTTTAAAGTTTAAACTGGTTCCAAGCAGCTTCAATCCCTTCATGCTTCATAGTCATTAGAAGCCCAGTAACTGCTCAAATCAAAAAGCACACAATCAAATCCTTACCCATCTACAAAATCTCTGAAAAAAAAGGGGGATTGATGACTCACCTATCAAAAAGGCATAACCCCCTTATTTAGCCCTAAATTTATAAAATTTAAAGTTATTTGTCTTCTTTTCAGTTTGGTTAAAATATTACTTTATTAGAAAAATTTTTACTAAGAAACTAGCTAGATTAGGGTATTACTTTATTAAAAAAACTTTTATTAAGAAAGTGGTTAAAAAGTAGTATACCAAAAATTAAAAAGAATTGTATAAAAAATTATTAAGTTTTTTAATGATTTTTTGTTAGAATTTTATTAGATCATTAACTTTGATATATTTAATAAGGAATTGATGTAGAAAATATTAATAGAAAAGATTATTAAGTGGCCTAGTATATGGAAACTTTTTCCTAACAAAATAAATGAAAAAAAATTATGGATTAAAAATTGTATTAAAAAAATAAAAATTAAAAATATCACTTTTATTTTTATTTTATTATAGTATTAATGTATAAAAAATACATAAATAACTTTATAACAAAATTTAGAGAATTTTAAGAATAAAAGTTTCTAAACCAAACACCCTCTAAAATTGAAAGGTATTAGCTTCAAATTACACAATTCAAGTAAAATTATCCAATTTGAAAATTTTATAATGGCCAGTTAACGAGGTAAGTTAAATATCCATTTTTTCGGTTCCTCTCCCCAACATTGCATCACATTCATGATTTTTTTCATTAAAAATAACATTTAAAAAGTCATACAAGGGCCCACAAGAAAGTGGCGACACTCCCACTTTCATATTTTCTTTAATCTTTTTTTCTTCACTTCTTTTCTTTTCTCCCTTCCAAGGACCTTTTCCTGTACCCAGAAAAGAAAATAAAGAAACGTAATTTGACTAATTTCACGTTTAATCTCTACCTCGGATTTCAATTCACTTGTATTGAGTACTGTTGCATTCATGCATCTCTTGTTGAAAAAATCACTGGCTTAAAAGTTGATGTCAATAGCCGGTATGATCACATTTGTCACAAATGTCAGGGTCTGTTTTATGGTAATGTCTCCTATAAAATCTGGTTTGTCATTGATCCCATGTTTTTTTTTTTTTATTATTATTAACTTTTCAGTATTTAGTAATCATGTTAAGTCTTGATTAATTCGAAATCAAGTCACGTCGGACCCTATTAAGGGGAAACTCTCTCAGTGCCTATTTTTTCATTCACAAAACTCAAACTCGAGACCTTATTTAAGGAGAACCGAAGTTCTTATACTCGAATCAACAGATTGTTAGTATACTTTTAATCATGCTTTGGAGGTTGGACCTATTAAACTCGCCATTGAACCCATCAAATTACTGCCTTTAAGATTAGAGAAAATAAAAAAAAGTTAAAGAAAAGAAATAAAGGAAAAAAAAAAGAAGAGGGAATTAGAGAAAATATGAAAGTGAGAGGGTGGCGACATTTTTGTAGGCCCTTTCGTAATTTTTTAAGTGTAATTTTAATGGAAAAAGTCCATAGTGTGATGCCATATTGAACAGACAAGGGTCATGGGTCATTGTATGGACAAATAGATATTTAACTTACACAATTAATTGCGATATTTTTTTTTAAATTCGTGTAATTTGAAGGTTAATTTCCTTAAATTTTAAGGTAAATGGAGAATAATCTTAAATTTTATAAGCAGAGAAGCTAAACATGGAAGTTATGCCACCAAAAAAAATTTTAAAACTTAAATGACTAAATTATAAAACCTTCTCTGTTTTCTATTAATTAATTTTAAGTAGGGATCCCGTTTTATGTTTGAATTCACATATTTAATTCCACACCCTCTCTTTTTCTTACAATATTGTTTGTTGACATTTTCCACATATTAAGATTTTGAAGAACAATAAGATTAAAGTAAAAAA